GGTTGGTAGGGGGCGGGGGTGGCTACTACTACTACTACTACTACTACTACTACGACTACGACTACGACTACTACTACTACTGCTACTACTACTACTACGACGACGACGACTACGACGACTGCTACGACGACGACTGCTACTACTTGATCAAGCGAAGAGTACCCTGCTTTCTCATATCTGCAGCAATGTGCTGTGGAATGTGCACACGCTAACCCATGCGGTTCAGAGCCCGAGCCTTCTTCAAAGTCTTCCATGTCAACGTCGCACGATCTGCTCCGGATTGCAGTTATGCGGCTCTTCCTCGGCCCGGGCTCGTCAAGGTGGAGTCTCGCTTTCGGCTTGTGAACCGGCTTGTCACTGAATCACTGCCACAGAACTCTGCAAACGGCCAGCAGTATGCTGACAACTGCTTCTGTTAAGAAGAGATGCTCGGGCAACAGGACCAGCAACCTGGTCGTCCTGCCCTTCTTAACATGCGCCCTGATCTCTCGCACGGCCCATTGGAGGAACTGAGCACGAGTCATTCTGCTCGTCGCTACAGTACCTGCCCTTGTAAGTCAGAAGACTGAGCCACAATTGCGCCGGGAACTGAATCAAAGCTTTTGCACGGACAGCTTGAATCGAGCTAGATTCTGATTAGATTCTGTCTCGACTGCGGAGACGCTCAAGCGATAGACACATGTCCCTCGTCACATGCTGCAACTTTCCGCTCCAGCGGTGCATCTTTATGAAGCCAGTCGCAGGCTCAGAATCTCTACAAGCATAATGAATAAAGAAAACAGAACACATCAAAGCCCGAACGGAACTTGGACAACCAAAGGTATGGCTATGACTATGAGTCGACCGCATATCTGGATTTACAGGCCTGCTGGGCGGAAGAGCTCCATTCATCGCACATAGGCTCTCACGCCCAAGATTCTGCGACCTGCCGATCGGGGCAAGTCTAGCTCAGTCGATCTTCAGCCGAACTGACACAAAGATCTTCCAAAAGGAGTACACATACAGGATCTCCATGGCCATGCTTTTGGAGGGCATTCCCATGCAGCTTGCGGCTTGCAGCCTCTGCCCGATGGTGCGCCTCGTCATGAAATTATTTCCCTGCCTTCATATCAGAACCTATCAGAACGTCATTCTGTTGTCTGCTTGGTGGGCTGGTCTCAATTTTGATCGCAGTGGCCTGCATCACGCACATGGGCCCCAGGGGCACAAGGCGGACGTGAACCATCGGCAGGCCCTGTAAACTTTTGGATAACAGCTGTCACCAGGCACCAAACCTGCGTAGATTGAGGTGCCAGAAACGCAGCAGTTTCCTCGAGTCTCAGGCCAAAACACACCATGAGTTTGCACTGAGCCAGGCAGCCGCAGGGCCGGAAGTCAAGTCATGGAAGATCCCACTCTCGCATCGAAAAGAACCACCACTCATTGGCAAGACAATGTTACTTCGTTACTGTACTTGCTTGTCCGGACTTTCACTCATGACACATAATGATTCCCTTGGGGCCAAGAACTCGATCTGAAAGGCCCAGGCCGCATGCCGCAGCAAATGCTGCTGGATGAAGAATCTCCGCCTTAAAAGTGCCGGGTCACCATGCGATGCGTGCGAAAGCAAAGCTGCAGGTGGCAAAGAGGCAGAGTCAATCAACGTTTTGACAGCTCGCATCTGAAAGCGTCTTTGGAGTCTGTGAACTGCTCGAGCTCAAGCTGAAGAGAAACTAGACGAGAGACCCAACCCGGAAACCATGCGCCAGAATTCCTTCATGGCTGGAGCTTTTGCCCAGGGATCGCATGACTGGGAATTAAATGGTGGAGACTCGGTCTCCGTCCTAAGCAGCCAAAATCAGCCAAACACGACTTCTCATGATGGCTAAAGTCTATCTTGCGCGTGAATTAGTTGAGCCGCATCTATCGACTGGCCCAGCCCATTCCAAAAACGTTGCACCCTCAAATTCTCACGGCACAATGGCTTGCTTTGCACGGGCCGCGCAGATGCCGGATGCGCCTGTTGCCTCGTACTTGCCGCAGCACGCCTCGATGTGGGAGTCATCCTCGCGGCAAAGCTGGCACTGCTCTCCCCCACATCCGTCGCACTGCTCGTCCATGCATGTGTCCACGAAAGCGTCCGCACACATCTTCGGGGGAGTCGTAGAATGCCAATGGTCTTGGCAGCACCGGTGCACTGTTGCTGCTTCTTGCTGACAAAGCTGGCATTGCTCTCCAGAGCACCCAGCGCATTTCTTGTCAACGCAAGTGCTTGCATCAGCCTCCCACACGCAGGTGAGCGCTTCGGCACCAAACAGGCCAGCACAGGGGTCAGTGTCAGGCTGCTCCACCTTGCATATCTCTGGCTGCGCACTGGCATCGTACTTGGCACAGCACTGGGCGATGCGGGCAGCATCCTCATGGCAAAGGTCACATTGTTCCCCACCAAAGCAGTGGCATTGCTCTTCGACGCAGGTCTTGATATCCTCCTCAACCTCAGCATCGGCGCACATTTTTGGCGGCGTGGTTGAGTGCCAATGCTTGTCACAGCACTGATGAATGCGCTCGCTGTCCTGACGGCAGTGTTGGCATTGCTCGCCACCGCAACCACGGCACTCGTTCTCGATGCAGGTGCTTGCATCAGCCTCCCACGCACAGGTGAGTGCCTCGGCGCCATACAGGCCGGCGCAGGGGTCAGCCAGGGCCAAGGCAGGAGAGATGGCGGCCAAGAGAAGACGAACGGCCATGGCTGATGACTGGAAAAGTTGTGAACACTGTAACCGAGTAGGCGCTTGGGAACCAAACTGTGCCCGGGGAATGCTTCCCGTCACTTGGAAAACCGGATTGCTCCTCGATTTGGTGTGATGCGTGCGAAACCAAAGATGCACGTGGCAAAGAGGCAGAGTCAGTCGACGTTTTGACAGTTCGCGTCTGCTCGCCATGAAAGCATCTTTGGAGTCTGTAAACGACCCAACCCGGAAACCATGCGCCAGAATTCCTTCATGGCTGGAGCTTTTGCCCAGGGATCGCATGGATGGAAATTGGGATTTAAATCGTGGAGACTCGGTCTCCGTCCTAAGCAGCCAAAATCAGCCAAACACGACTTCTCATGATGGCTAAAGTCTATCTTGCGCGTGAATTAGTTGAGCCGCATCTATCGACTGGCCCAGCCCATTCCAAAAACGTTGCACCCTCACATTCTCACGGCACAATGGCTTGCTTTGCACGGGCCGCGCAGATGCCGGATGCGCCTGTTGCCTCGTACTTGCCGCAGCACGCCTCGATGTGGGAGGCATCCTCGCGGCAAAGCTGGCACTGC